ATAATCTCTTGATGTAAACAAAGTCCCGCAAACAGAGTGACAAAAAAATTCAAGAAAACAAATTTCTAATTGTTGTTCACATTGCAGTGAAATTTAATAAAAATAACTACATAACATAACATATGCGTGTGCAATATTTTCCTTAAATTTGTTTATACAGGCCAACAAAAGAAATAGTTATTACAAATTTAACAAATTTTTGCTAGTAACAAAAAAATAATCAATACGAAATTTAAAGTTAACAGGGTCATGTATTAAAATAAATGGATTTTAACTTAAAAATTTATTAAATTAAATATATGTATGTATGTATTTTACATGACGACCATGATTGTTTCAACAATATTGAACATGAAATTACGGGACTTTATTTACATTAATAATAATTTGATGTAAACAAAGTCCCGCAAGCATAATGACAAAAAAATTCAACAAAACATACCTCTAGTTGTTGTTCGCATTGCAGTGAAATTTAATAAAAATAACTGCATAATATAAAAACGCTTGCACATATTTTAATGCATAACCCTGTAAACTTCAAATCAATTTGCCTTTGATTACCAACACAATAGGTTTTGTACAAATATTTTAAAGAGAACATGACATATGTATATCATATTAATGCGCACCCATACACACATACACAGTTATTAGTGTGCCTACGAATGGAGTCATAGCGGAAAAAAAACATAATTGTGATGAGCGGACGGAGAAATGGCACCAAACATCTTCTATTCCTCATTCTTATTGCACACTCTAAAAGATTTTGTATGAAAGAGTATGTGAGGCAATATTTCTGAAGATGATGCATGGTTTTGTTTTTGTATATTTTTCACAAAATATTTGATTGCTTTTCTGCACATGCAGTGCATAAATTCTTTGAAATTATTACTTATTATTTTTCAAGCATTTAATTATTGGCGTCGTGTTAGTTGCCTACTTGAGCCCTTGCTTCCCTCTCTTGTCCTGTTTACAGTTACAACATGCGTACGGTTGTAGTCATAGACGAAAAAACCAATACCAAACATGATTTGAAGCGCACAGGGTCATCCATTAAATAAGATGGATTTTATTAATAATATATTATTATTATTTCTTTTATATGTTTATTGTGTTTTTAAATAATTATTGAATACATAATATTTTAATGTATGTTTTATATGTTTATTGTGTTTTTATATTATTTATTTGTGTAATGTTTTTATACCTTATTTATGTAAATACATATGTATGTAAAACAAAAGTTGTATTTGTTATATTTACTTTATTTGTAAAACCGCTAATGTAGAATATTAGCACGTTAAATAATAACTGAAATCAAAAGTAATGATGTGTGCAAAGTAATGATGTGTCATCTAAGTATTATTAAATAAACTAATATCGGTAGAAATTAATTGAAGACTGAACAATATTATTTACATATGTAATTTATACCCATCATCAGTATTCAATATTTTTTATTAGTCAAACATACATGCATATATCCTTCAAACTGAAACTGAAGCTGAATTTTTTAACAAATTTCATTTCATCATTATTGCAATTATTAACAAAATTTGAAGTTAATAGGGTCATCTATTAAAGAATATGGATTTTGACTAAAAAATTTATTAAATAAAATATACATACATATGTATTTTACATGACGACTTTGATTTTTTTAACAATATTGACCATGAAATTACGGGACTTTATTTACATCAATAATCTTGTGATTTAAACAAAGTCCCGCAAGCAGAGTGACAAAAAAATTTAACAAAACAAATTTCTAATTGTTGTTCGCATTGCAGTGAAATTTAATAAAAATAACTGCATAACACAAAAAATGCGTGTGCAATATTTTCCTTAAATTTGTTTATACACGCCAACAAAAGAAATAGTTACTACAAATTTAACAAATTTTTGCTAGTAACAAAAAAATAATCAATACTAAATTGTTCTTATATTCTTCATTTTATTTATTCTACTCTAAATGATTTTGTATGAAAGAGTATGTGAGGCAATATTTCTGAAAATGATGCATGGCTTTGTTTTTGTATATTTTTCCTAAAATATTTCCTAAAATATTTTTCCTGAAATATTCATATATACTTATGGTATGTACATACATATATGAATCACAAAAAATCACGTTTGACTGATTTGTTTAGAAAAATGAATAAGGATAATAATGGTTTAATACCACGTGCCGAATTCATATATGGAATAAGTACGATTATTTATATAATGTAGAATAACTAAATAATGTAGAATACCTATTATTTATTTTTTAAAGAATTTGACACTTCTCGAATGGAAATGGGTGCAGTGGCAGATCTTTTTGATCGTAATGGTGGAGACCCGATTGGCAAGAACGCAAACCAGCAACTGATTCAGATAAAATACATGATGAAGTTAAACGCCTTGTTATCCTTTGCACATGTCGACAAAAATTTTGCGTATTTCAAGTTGGCAAAGGGAAATATAGGGTTCGTAAAATACTAATTATCGGATCTTAAAGCTTAATACTCCATCTTCTATTTAAAACAATATTATTTTTGTATAAAACAGTTTGGCGACTCGACTCTCAAAAATTACGAATATTGCGAATATTGCGTAGCACAGTTATGGTTCGTGTAGGTGGCGGCTGGCTTGCACTTGATGAGTTCTTATAAAAAAATTTTCCTTGTCGCGGTAAGTAAATAGTTAAGAATTTTGTACTTTCTCATATTGAATAAACATAATTAAAATATTCATATGCTTATAATTAAAACATTTCTTTAGCGTAATATAACATTATTATTACATTTACATAACAAGCATAACATGCTTTCATAGTAAAATTGTACATTGTTCATTTCATAAATCATTTTAGCTGGTTTTAATGACTCGAGTGTTTTATTACAACTCTGCTCTACATAATCTATTTAATCATCCATACGTCAGTGAAAATACATATATATATTAAAACGGAAATGGTCATTTAACAAATAAATAAATTTTTTATTTTAATAAACTGCCAGAAAACAATCAATAAATTTGAAATTAAAATTTTTTTTGAGTTCATGTATAACAAGTTTTGAAAATGCATTTTCTGCTATTTAATAAATGACTTATTTTGCATATAACTTAATAGAAACGTGTAATCTAACAGCTTTTAGTTTTTAGTACCTTTACCATTTTTTATTATCTATGAATACATACATATATAATTTACGTTTTATTTTATTCTTTAATATGAACATATAAGTAATATAATTCTTTGGCGACCACATACATACATATACATTTTCATTTTATTAAAATTGTAGCATATATTATTATGAATTTACATTGCACTTACTTGTATGCTTCTATTGTTAATAATCGTATGAACTTCACGATATACATATGTATATTTAAAGACAAAAAAGATACATATGTATGTATTTCTTCTTGAATTAACTTACGCAACATAAAGCAGTCGTTCCTTTTTATAAATATTTAATGTTGAGCTAGAATATTAAGTTAAGAATGGATGGTGTTTTTTGTTATTTTTGTTAAAATATTACTTTGTCAGTCCTAGTGCACAAAGGCAGTGACAACACATAAAATACATCTACAGATAACAGTAAAACATAATCTCAATAAAATATAAATGATCTAACCGTAATGTAACCAATTTATAACTTGGTTCGGGAATTTAAAACATTACAGTTGCAAATACATATGTAGGTACATATGTTGATTAATTTAAAACTTAAGGTTCGTAGCCAAAAAGCATATAAAAGGTAATTTTGTCGGAAAGCAGAAAACATTTACAATCTCACATTTACATACATATGTATCTCAATTGTTCCCTGTACTGTTGTACTGTTGTACTTACTTCTTAGATAGTTAAATGCCTAGTTTGAGCATCTACCTCATTGAGTTACACTTATACCTCAATTTCAATAAAATAAAAAAATTCTGATTTTATTTAAAATTAAAATTTTTTTTTCCATCAGTTAGGTTGTATACTTAGGACACTATTATCTTTTACAGCATATATAATATTAGTTTTAAGTGTCAAATGTTTCTAACAGAGTTCCAATATTTTGTGATTTGTGTGTACATAGAGTATTTCGGGGACTGCCTACCTATTTAATCCTTTTAATTAATTTTTATGCTGTCTCTATATCAAACAAAGTAGCCATCTATGCTTTTGAGATGATTATTACAATAGATTAGTCAATATAGTAATAGTATACAAGAAAATCTTTGAACGCATTAATTGTATTTAAATATTTTCTGAAGTAAAAAAAAAAATAAAAATTTTGTTTCAATATCAATACTTAAATAAAAACTTAAGTATCTATGTTGGTATCTTTGAATATAATTATCCTTGTTATTTTTAAATAAATACAAACACATACATATAAAAATATTTTTTGTTAATAATTTCAATTAAATTTATTTTAGTTTAATTAGGTTTTTACAAAATTACTGCCTAGTAATTTGGTATTAGTAATTTACAATATTTATAATGGTATAAAAATTATTAAAAGTAAAAAACAATATAAACAAAAAATTAATTAGTATATCCTAAAAGTAAGTTAATAAAAAGTTATAATAATGACTATTAGTACATAAATTTTACTATATATTATTTCGTGTGTAATTGATATACATTTTTAAAGAATTTCACATGCGTAATATTTTTATTATTATTGTTTATTATTTATATATGAAGTTGCATTTCAAATTAAACTGGCGATTTCAAAACTTCATACAACAACATAAGGTTCGATTCGAGTTTTTTTGTTAATTAAATACAATGATAACAGAAACACTTATATTTCATTTAATTATAAATGTATATAATATTTACAGAATGTTAGGACGTTACTTGAATAAAGATTATTGAATTTCGATTTTCGTATTTTATACAGTTCAAGACTCGTATTTCTGACTATATTTTTGTAAATATATGAAGCTTTCTCTTCAAAATACATACATATATTTTTAAAATTTAAAATAAAAATAACTGCTTATTCTTGTTTATTTTATATTACTGCAAAACTGTATATTTGTTATTGCATGTTAAAGTATGTATTTGTGCGATTCCAATTTGATGTTCTCTGGGACTCGTTTAAGGGGTATTATTCAAACATTTGAAATATACTCTAAAGTCTGAATGGTTCACGTTTTTCGACTGGTGTAGTACCACGAGAAGTTCTGCGCATCGTTGAACTAAATGTTGGCTCAGGTGAACTCTTTCTTGGGGTTTGCATGCCTGATGGTGTTGAACTGCCACTTATATTTCGCCTGTAGGATCAAATGTTCAATATGTATTATTTTTTGAATTCAGTAAAAATAAAACTGTCAACATTGTAGTAAGTAAATAACGTAAAGTAATAAAAATAAAGTAATTTCGTTTAAAATACAATATGTAATTTCGGTTTTTTTTCACCTTTTACTTTTTTGTTATTAAGAACTTGAAATTCCTGTAATGTCCATAAAAAGAGAGCTTATAATTGTGAAGTATTCATTATATAACGATTATATCCCTCACTGCAAGAGATAATCGTAAGTAACGGATATTATCATAAAAAAAGGCAAGCAGGAAAATTGTTTAGCAAATAATTATCATGCATAAATATTTAGTATTATTAAAATTATTTTTTATTCGTTTTAAAACTAAGCTCTAAATTTCATATTTAATTTGAGAATAAAAAGTAAATAATTAAAAAAAAATATTATAAGCTTCACTCATAAATAAATAAAAACAAACGTATTAAAATTTTGTAAATTGATCAACTTGGTTAAATACGTTATACGTTTACTTGATTTACCCTGAACTGCTTGGTTGATTAGTACTTTTCGATGCTGTAAACTTGTAAGTGAAGAATTCGATGTATGATCGAATGATAGCACTTTAATGGGAATCCTTGATTGCTGGCTTTTAATTATTTAATATTAATTATAAACATAAATGATTTGTATATTATATTTAGAGTTTCAGAAAGAATTTAATTAAGTATTTTAAATAAATATCTTATAATAGTTACTTTAATGTTCTTAATTTATCTATATTTGAAGCCGAAACCTGTTAAAGCTGGTATACTGGATGATCTACTCATGCCTTCATTACTTTATATATTATTTGTTATCGTTGTTTTTATTTCTTATTTGTTAATAATTGCAATAAGTTGTTTAAGTGTTAAAATCATTATGTTGAATGCCAATTAGTTATTAGTTTTGAGAATGATAGATGTGGAGAGTTCATGTTCAGAAATATTAAATAAAAAAGTTAATCGGTTTTAGTTATATAAAATCAATAAATCAATCAATAAATTACTTTAAATAAGTAAAATACATTGATTTATAGTAGGAAGTATAATTTATATCAAATGAATAAATTAAAAATATTGAAATAAATCATAGTGTGTCATGTAACAATCTTGTACTTAGAGTTATAACTTAGCACATAATTTTCTCACGAAAACTACTAAATTATATCACGAAAGTTATGTGTCGCAAGAACATACATATAAACAAATTATATTATTGTTACGAATCATACTTTCTGTAAAATAAAAACATACTAATAAATAATTATCTGTGCAATGTTAACTATGTGATTTATTTCCAAAAAAAATAGCAATAATAAAGATATAACGATTTTTTTTTGTAATTATGATTAAAAATTTTATTTTGGAGTTGTTATTCTTCTAAATTATAGTTTAAATTTAAGAAAACATATATACAAATGTATCTTATATATAAAATTAACATTGTCAAAATGTTAGTTACCGTACTCCTCCGAAACGGCTTTACCGATTTTTACCAAATTTTATATGCGTATTCAGTAGGTTTGAGAATCGGCTACTATCTATTTTTCATACCGCTAAAGTGATTAGGGTGTCCCTATCCAGTAAAAATATCTTTATTGCTTTAACAAAAATTTTTTTATTTTTTTGACATAAATTTTTTTATATTTTTGAAAAAGAAAACTTGCTATGATATGAAAAGTTGTTGTCTATGAAAATACTGAATTCATAAAACTGCCCCCTAATTTCTGCACTATCGTTAATTCCCAAAATGCTCTCATTGACCGCGTATTTCCAGATGTACACATACAATACAATAATACAATAATACGCGATTGGTAATTAAAAAATTGATGAAAAACATTATCGAAGCCACCATTTTGAATGGCAAGTTCCGAAACGAAAAAGTTTTATTGCCACGAATTCCAATGATTCTCACAGACATGCCAATTTAATTCAAACGCGTTCAATTTCCTATTAGATTGGCATTTGCAAAGACCATCAATAAGTCGCAAGGCCAAACGATGTCTGTTTGCGGTCTTATAAATAAAATTTCCATGTCACAATGTTAGTTACCGTACTCCTCCGAAACGGCTTTACCGATTTTTACCAAATTTTATATGCGTATTCAGTAGGTCTGAGAATCGGCTACTATCTATTTTTCATACCGCTAAAGTGATTAGGGAGTCCCTACCCAGTAAAAATATCCTTAGTGCTTAACAAAAAATTTTTTATTTTTTTGACATAAATTTTGTTTATATTTTTGAAAAAGAAAAATTTTTTCTTAATATTTTATGTAACTACGCCAACAAGTACATCGAGCATTTACATCGACTTCGTTCTTCGTCTTCGGCTTGCATGGCAGATGGAAAATGTACTAAAAATTTTTCTAAAGATTTCACT